AGTTCGTCATTTTTAAGACTGCAAATTTATTTTAGAATTGCGATAAAATCGACTCTCGTTTATATAATTAATTATGTTTATTTGATATTAATTAAATGTATATATATATAAATATCTTGGTCATGCTTGGAGGATGTCTCATACTGTCACGGAATTACGAAAAAAAGATTATCATTTAAAAGTGCACTTTATGTAATGCTTTTTTCATTATTATTCGCGAAGAGTTTATGTGTAGAATCAGATAGAGAGCTGTTTTCCTATTTATAATTTTAAATTTATAATTAATTATATTATTAATTAGAAAAATATGTACAATATTTAACTATGTGACATTTTTTTATCTTGCTCTATATATTAACAGATCGCTCTATTATTAACAGATTTGTCCGGCAGAATTTTTGTTTAGTAAATTTACATAGATGTTGGGAAAAAATTTGGGAACCTCGTTTCTTACGTTTTTTTTTTTTCAAGTGGAAGGAGGAAAGTTAGGCGAGAATGTTTCAAACTACCAATTTAAATGCCGATCCGATGAGCCGATCCGGCCAATACGCCTCGCAGAGTGCAAGGTTATTAAGGCATAGTCTGGTCGGCGGCACACGGTCGGCTAGTTTAGGTAGATTGGTCCAGGGGACCAGTGCATTTTTGAGAGCTCATTGCCATCGACGGCAAGTTAAGCTTGTCCCCGGATTACTCAATGATTTATTCTCCCAGTGTCGGAAACACGATAAGAAATGACTTTGCATCTCGCGATATTTGCGATGAAAGTCTTATTTATAATTTACAAATATATGAATTTCAAGCGATACGTTTTGTGAAAAATTCTTAATAAAAAGAATTGACAAATATAAAAAAAATTTTTTTCTGAGATTAAATGCAAATATAAAAAATATTACACCACAAATAAAGATATTATATATATATATATTATCTACAGTCCTCCATAAGTTTGGAAACCCCTTATATTTAACAGTTAAAGAATTGCATGGCAGCGATCTGTTATAAATGAAAATGTCATTGAAATACTTTACGTTTATTTTATGATTTATTTATACAAAAAATCTGCACAGATCTGTCAAAAGGATCCTCTTAATTTTGAGAGAAATATTCTCTGAAGAAATATTCTTTAATTAGATATTTGTAACATGCATGAATATAAACTTAATGGGATTTTTTTTCAGTATATTATTTGAAATATTATTAATCGTGATAACAAAAAATTAACAGTCTTATAAATGGACATTTGTTATTTGTTGCATATACAGTACCCTTCACAAGTTTAGAAACACTTTACATTTTACAGTTAAACAATCGCATGGCAGCAATTTATTGATTCAAAAAATCTACACAGATCGCTGCCATACGATTGTTTAACTATAAAATGTAAGGTGTTCTAAACTTGGAGAGTACTGTATATGTATAAAATATATTTTTGTATATTACTATTTTTTTCGTACATCTTATTTAATTTTTATTAATATGATCGCACTCATAGATCTTCGATAAATATTTTCTTCTCTTGACGATATTTTAATTTAATATATTTTTACAATAAAATTGTGTAAAATAAAGATTCGAATTTATAGTGTCCATGGCGAGAGAATATTTGACTTGCTTATAGTTATCACTCTTTCTTTTATATTTGATTCTGAATATTTTTGGCATACAACATCGGTTATTTTTGCACCAATAAATTCTGCAGTGTTTTCGGGTTAATGTCGATTTTGGTATTTCTGTTTCGGCGAAAGGGGAGCACTAACCTGACCGTAGGCAAGGACGAGTGCTCGAGGCGCCGTCGAAGAAAAACAATAAAACGAGAATTGGCACGTCTGGCGAAACAGTTGAGTGCCGTCAATTCATCTGGCCGACTTGCCAGAACGTGCATCTAACTATCGCATTATATGCATGAATTATCGTCACACGTCTCTGAGTAATGCGGCTCTGACAATGTCACTGACACATACTATGTCTGTCAAAAATACTTGAAATTACAATAAATATATATAAGAAAGTTCGGACGTCTTTATAAGATTTATTTTAGATTTTATTATAAGAAATATATATATAGTTATATGATTTAATGCGCGTACACATTAATTAAACGCAAGTTGACACAAAATTTCATACAATTCTATTAAATTATTATCAAGTATGACAATCATAGTAAAATCTACTGGAATAGATTAGGTTATAGTATTGTGATTATATAGTAAAATTTTTATATTCAAAATATTATGTAATTAATTATATAATGGCAAATTTTGTCAAGAAAATTGTTGTTTAAATGCAAATATATTTTAATTCCTGTTTGAAGAAATATATGCATGCAAATTACATATTTTTATATCAAACTTATATTTTACAGTTTGATATCTAATTATTTCACGTGCATTTATTTTGTTAGAAACAACGTATACTAGGCAAATTGTTTAATATTGAAACATGTATTTTTTCTGTATTTAATATATAGCTATTATATATATATATATATTGCAAAAAACGATATCATTTCAAAAAATTTAATTTATTGTACTCTTCAAGAAAAGCATTCTGATATCGATATACAGTAGCGCCGATCGCTTAAATAAATTTTTCCTTGGCATCCTTTCAATCCGGTTGACGATAAATAAGATAACCCTTCCTTCAGTTTCACGTTACAATTGCCTCAATTATCTCAACTGACATAAAAGCAGTGACACAATTATAATGACCTATAAGAACAAACTGTATAAAAAAATTCTGTGTATAGATATTAAATTTTACTCATCCCGATTGTATTGCGAGATATTGATAAATATATCCGTAAAAGTTTTGGTAAACATGTTTTTAAAATACGCGTCTTATAGCCACGAACAGTCCACATTTTCGAAAAGTAATCGCGATAGGTCAAGAATAAAAACTTATTTGTGACAAAGGTAAAAAGTACGAAATAAATTACATAGGCAGAAGCGAGGAAAGTTTGACAAATATTTATAAATTTGTCGGTGCTATGGTACAGGAATTTTGTTTTGTTTTCATGTTTTGTTACACGTGATCGATAATTAAGAGCATGTGATTTACCACATATTTACATTGATCATAATATTGACACAATAACAATATGTTGAACATATATTGTATCTATATTCGTTATAGGCTGTGTATATACTTTAAAATAAAGTTGACACAAAATTTCACACAATTCTATTAAATTATTATCAAGTATGACAATCATAGTAAAATCTACTGGAATAGATTAGGTTATAGCATATTGTGATAATATAGTAAAATTTTTATATTCAAAATATTATGTAATTAATTATATAATGGCCAATTTTGTCAAGAAAATTGTTGTTTAAATGCAAATATATTTTAATTCCTGTTTGATTAAAATAATCTGGTGCAAAACGATAAGCAAGCATACATTGATGACAAATTCTATAATGTTACATTCAGTGATGTATTTGTCGATCATTAACCATTAATGATAAGTAAGTGATAATTGTATTTACAGAATTCCGTTCTGGTTCGTAGCACAAATGACGTGAACCATTGAGCCCGAATTTTTGGCATTATCAATATGCAGCGACATGCTATGTATGCATGAACTTTAGATATATATAAAATCCTGAACATCGATATGCATAACGTATACTCTAATAAATTTAAATATGTTCAATTTTCCTTACTTATACATATAGTATAGTATTCATATCATATTATATATGTAAAATATAATATAATATAAAAATAAATTTCTCTCCTAAAAGAAAGTGTAATTTTTTATACAAAAAATATATTTTTTTTATTAATTTTTTTATATTATATATTTTATAGAAAGAGAAAAAGGAAAAAGAGAGAGAGAGACAGAGAGAAAGAAAGAAAGACACGTTATGTATTTTATATATATGTATATATTATATTTTAATTAATTATTATCCACTATATTTTATTTATTTTTATTATTTATTGATATAGCATTTTTATTATTTATTGATATATCTTACGTATATACTATAAATTCCACGATCGCTTAAAGTTTATTTTAGTTTAGTTAGAGAAAATGTACTAGATATAAAGAAGTCGACATCAATTATTTTAATTACGTTCTTATAATATTTTTCTTCTAAATTTCTTCTCAATATCACAAAAACATGGAAACTGCAAAGTATTAATTAATCTAAAAATAAAGCGCTTCGAAAATATGTAATTTTAGCAATAACAAAAATATTTATACAGATATGTATACTCTTACACTCAGGATATAAGAACTTTAACGAGACATCTTATTAAATTTTATTCTGAGTACTTAGAAATATTTAGATATAATTATATTATATTTAATTTGAAAAACTAATTTAGATTCTTTAGAAGATTTAAAACTTACACTTACTAATTAAAAAATTTTTCTTTGATAAAGTAAAAATACGAAAGATACGTCTATATAATTTGTCTCGGCGAGATATTTGGGGGTAAGAACTTTGCACTAGTGAAAACCAATTTGATACGCCGATTAATGCATGTATATTGCGAAAAATATTTTTCTTCATTCGGGGGGTGTACCAGAAATCGGCGAAAACATGACTTGATGAATTTAATTAGTGGGCGAAAAGAAATCGCAGAACAATAATCGTTTTGTGCCCCCAAAGTTTATCAGCCGTTACCATGAATTTTGTATTGATTAAAGAGAAAGAGAGAGACGCATCGCCGAAACACGATTTAATAAAATGCAGATTCGTTACAGCAAGAGATATTTTTGCGTACGATACTGCCAGATTTATCGCGTATCTGACTTTAAACATAAATGTTAAGTGCATAATGCGTAAAAATAGTAAGGTGCTTATCTTACAGTCAACACATATACATATATATATATGTAAAATGCTTTAAATGTTAATTGAAAGTTGTCTCTTTGTCTCTTTTTAATTTTTATTAAATTTTAAGTGAGTCAACTTGAATCGCTGGAAAAAAATGGTTTATATTTAAGAGGGAGGAAAAGGGGAGAAATAAAATGTTATTCCGTGCTCATCGAAAATCCGTTTATTTAATGGAATAAATATTTGTCTATCTATGCTACCTATCTAAGAAGTACACATTATACATATAAGTATGCATTTTTTTGCCGTCCTCGTTTGTATATTGGGGAAAAGATATAGGTATATATATATATTCCATTATTTTTTTAATTATTGGTACACTGACAAACAAACGGAAAATGGATAGCGGACGAGAAGGAAAGGGGATGAAAAGATAGAGGACAGCTCGACGAGGGAAGAGATGAGTTACAAAAGAATCGATTTTTCAAGGAGCTTTGTCTTACATTCTAATGATTGCTTTATATAAAAATCGCAAAGTTTTTTTTTTATAAAGTCGTACGTGTATGTGTATTTTTTCTTTTAAAATCACATAAAGTTTAGGGACGGTGCGCGCAAGTCGATTGTGTATCGTATACTATTTTACAAAATGTAGCTACAGTGCACTTGACTCGAAGCCGAGGGTTAAAACGTGGAATTAAGTGTTACTTCGTATAGCGTCAAACATTTTTTTAGCACAATTTCGAAGATAGCAAAGATCGAAATTAATAAAATTTCACTTCTCGATGCCTACAAGTTCAGTGGATAAATGCCACTTTGCCGCAATTATCGCGTCGCAATTATTTATTTCTTTTTTTATTGACTAAATACAAAGACCTAAATTCGTCGAAATTTTACTTTCAATCGTTACATATAACTAGAATTGTTTAAGCGTCGAGGAGATACATCTATACATATTATATAGCACTGATCCTTTAGTACGATATAATTAAGTGATAATTGATTAAGCAAAGATCAGAGAAGGATCCTTTTGAAATTTATGAAAATTAATCAAACTTTAGATGTTACGTTGCTTGTCAAGGAATCCTTTACTGATCTTGCCCGAAAATATTATCAATTTTTAACATTGCACGAAACAGGAAGGGACGTAAAAGAAACGTCGTTATCCCTTCTTGATAAGTGCATCTCCCGACGCGTTAAAATGCAGCTATTAATACTTAATAAGTCATGAAGAAAGCTACAAAAATCGGGCGCATTTCGCGAATAACGTTCATTTATCTAGAAAGAATAAACGTTCAATACTTATTTTCGCGATCGTATAATTTATGCGAAAAACTTTCAATTTTCGCAATATAAAGAAATTTCGAATTTATTGCGCCGTAGGTGTGTAATTACAATTTATTTAAAATCGTACTCGCTTTTTTTTAGAAATAGCGGAGAACAGAGCCGCCGATATACGAGTAACATCCTTGTCGGGTCCTTTCAAGACCCGGGAATCTCAGCGAAGCAACATTACACTCTCTTGCCTGTTACGACTTATTTACATAATTCGACACGCTCTTTCGCACACGCACTCTCACAATTTGCTAAAAAAACGATCATAATGACACAGAAATTATATATATATATATATATATATATATATATATATGTACATATATATATATATAATATTGTAGAAAGACGAGGGTGTGTGGGGGGAGAGGGAAAAGGGAAAACCATTAGAAAAACAACGATTTTACTGTACACCGAGATCTGTTGGCCAATACGTTTCCATCGATCGTCGACATATCTATCTTGCTTCCTCGCATATAAAGAAATGAAAGAGGCAAGAAAACATTTGTCGAATACAATTTTGTCACATTGATAAAAACGCTCGAATTATATTCTTCGCACTTGATTTAAAGTCTCGCGAGACGCAAGAGCAAACAAGAAGTTCCAAGTTTTCTCTCGCTTCTCACGAAACCGCGTTGTTAAAAAAAAACTCATTCCCTACGAATATAAATTTGAGTTCCATATGTGTGTCACAAGTACTCCCGAGCTCTCTCTTCTCTCGCACCTTCGAGCAATCAGCAAAAACTCCCCCATCTCGAGGTCGTACACGCGGATCAGGTGCAAACGTATCGGCGTCTTAAAAATAATACCGTGACTCTAGGAACTATCCGCCTTGCCATGGACCACCGTCGTGGGATCACCTGTCGCTGACGACACGAGCATCCCTCCTTGGCATCCAGCGCACAGTCTTAGAGGAGATCCTCGCGAATCAGCACTCGCGCACTTTTTTCCTCAGTTTCCTTCGCGTTCTCTCTCTCTTGCGCTCCGAAGGGATCCGCATCTACGCGACCACTCTCCGAACAAGGCACTTTCAGTCTATCGGATGAGGAATCGCCGGGAACGCGGCGACGACAATTGACGACGACAATTGACGGGGACAACGATGATGATTATCGGAATTGATCAGAAGGAGAAGAGCGTCGCCTCGCACGTAGGGACCCTCCACGTAGTCGTCCCCGTCGTCCGACTCGTAGGTGGACTATGAGCAGCCGCACTTCTCGACCACCATGCCCGGCAGCCGCGAGAACACGATCTGGTACTCGTTGTCGAAGTAGAGCATCGTGATCTCGGAGAGTTTCCTGGGCGCGCAGCACGGCCCGGTATTGTTCGGCGGCTCCGCCAGGCTGACAATGTGCGTGTTGGGATAGGCCGGTAGAAAAGCCATCGGACAGTCGCCCGAACAGTAATTGGCATCGTATCTGCGACACAAAGATTTGCGGGACCGATCGTTAATGCGAATTCCAGCGTCGCTGACCTGCGAGACCTGATTTTTTCATTTCTGCATTCCTTACATTATTCATTTTCGAAAGAGATATTATGTTAACCCTTAGTCCCGACTCATGGGTTGTTTGCGACCCAAACGAAATTTTAAAGTGCTGTAATTTTTGAAAACGAAATTTTGTCGATATCTTTATTTGGCTTAAAGTTATGATATTTTATGTGAACAAGTGATTTTTCCTTAGGTACCTCCATTTCTTAATAACAAATTATATAAAAAAATAATTTTTATCGAAATATTATGATTGGAACTTCAAGTTGAAGGTTGCAAGAAGCTCCATGAATTTCTTCAGATTTTTTAAAGCGTTTTTACTGATCCAAATAACGCAAAGACGCAAACGACCCATGAGTCGGGATTAAAGGTGCCGAAAAGAACCGTCGGGACTAAGGGTTAATCACTCAAGGCCATGGGCGTCCGTAGGATTTTTTCAAAGAACCTTTCATCGAATTATTCATTTCATTTTTTTGTCATTTTTATTTCTTATATATTAAATGCGCGAATAAAGTCCAGTGTTTATTCAAAAGGAGAGCAAATGCCTAATTTTTTTACCGATTTCAAGAGAGGACAAATGCTTCCTCTCGTCTTTCTTCTGCGGACGTTTATGCTCAAGGCTGAAGACTAATCAGTGTTGATAAAACTCATTTTGAAAAAGGTTTTTCTTCATCTTGAAAACAAATGATAATGGATACCGATACGCGTAGTACATCGAATTATTCTTACAGAGTTTCAAATTTATTAATTCCCGATATTTTTGTTGAAATATACGTCAAATGTTGATGTGCGTATTTCAATTAAAAAACTTGTTATACGAAGATTGTGAATGGACACAATTAACTTTGTATTCTGCGATAAGTGTCAGCATTTAAATACTGTTTTAATTAGCTCGAAATGCACATATATGTGAGTGCAAGCGCACTACAGAGGAGATATTTTTAGATCGAACGTGCGCAATAACAGTTTAGCATTGTTGATGTAGAAGTTGTTCTACGTGCCAGCGAGAAAGCTACGATTCCTGCATCGAAGTCGAGTTTGGCTCAAATATTTTCTTTCGGAGAAACCTTTACGAGTAGGTACGTGCTTAACTAACGACGCATTAATCATTTCGCGCGAGTCGAAATATATATAGAATATATATACAAAAGTGTTATATGTTTTAGAGAATATTCTACTAAAGGGGCACAAAATATATCGAGCTAATAACTCAAAAGTGTATTCTAATTTTTGTCCAATAAAAGAGATGAAAATAGAAAGAGAAAGACTTTCAGTAAAATACATTTATAACTAAACCAGATTGTTTGATTCTGATCTTGGATTTGTGATCAAATAGAGGACATGAAAAATTGAACTCGAAGCGACACTAAGAAAATATAATACATCGACTGACGCAAACCGGCTTTTTCGAGATTGCGGAATCTCGATAAAAAAATTCCCGACAAAAGAACAGAAAACTAGACTCACTTTTTAGGCGCGATTATCCAATCCCAGCCGAATTTTTCAAAGTCCACCGTGAGCTTGTACCGGCAACACCTGGTCTCCTGGCTGGCCTCGTCGCAATTGAGTCCCACGTTTCTCTTGATCCTGGAGTTTTTTCGCGAATCGAGTTCTTGCGTCTGCACCTCGAGATAGGGCGTGTTGTCCGCGTTGGGGCTGGTCTCGACCAGTCGGGCCAAGTTCCTGTGATGATTCCCGCAGGTGATTTTCAGGGCCACTCCGAGATTGTCCCGGGGATGTTTGAACCACTCGGCCACCATCCGTCTGAGCTCGATCGTGATCCTGCCGCCCATTTCTGGCCGAGGGTGCTTCGTGACGAGGGCGGGCCCCAGCAAAGGCTCGCCGGCCTCGTTTGTCCCCCGGAGGATTCTTCGCAACGTGATCGTCAGCGTGTCCTGACCCTTCAGATCGAGTGACTCGCCGATTTCGGCCACTTCCTGATTCACACCCCACACCCAGAGGGACAGTTCCGCCCTGGTAACGCGATGTTGAACGATTTTGTCGGAGAATTTAAAGTAGAGTACGTCTAAGTTGCCCTTTGAATGCCTTAGCCTTTGATCTGGAAAAAAAATTACGTAATATATTAATTACATAATATAATAATTATCTGTCTCGCGTCTGTAAAAATATATACAGCATAAGTAGATAAATGGTTATTATTATATGTATGTATATACATATATATATATAAATTATTGTTTTAATTATTTAAGTATACATATAAGGAAGATATATACAATTTTTTCAGTTTCTTACTGCGATGCAAAAGAAACATGTTCTCTTTTTCAGGATTGGAAATAAGAATACTGATTATATAAGATCTTAATTGCACATGATATTCGTCGGGTGTTTATTTTTAACGCCTTTTCTATGAATATAATTTTCAATCGTGTACGATTATTTAATGCTGCGTAGTACAAATGCATTAGGGTATGATTCGCGTCAATAATTATGTCGGAAAATTCCAAATAGGAGATATAGTGTCTGGTTGATAGTCTTGTTGATGTGCCGCACACACGCCAGCGATGATAAAGTGCCATTTTTTCTCTCGACAGTCCGTACGTGAACGCGTTTTTTCGGGGATTTTTTTTTTTGAACATAGGCCTCGCGTCATGTCGGATGCCGCATTGCATCATCTTATTATTCGTGAATGAAAAGATCCTCATTGCGGTCGATACTACGTAATTCGATAAAGTAGTATCGCTGCACCGCTTAATGCCGCGAGACCACTTTGTGCTATCTACAAATATTGGATAAATAGTGGATAACATGAATGAGGTAGGGTAGGGGAATTAAAAATAAAACATATAGAAAAATATTTATTGATTCTCGCTGACGTGTAAACAAAGATACCAAGAATAAACAAAGTGAACTGATGCGATTTTGGATGTAACTACAACTTTTGATCGGGTTTAAGTACATCGCGATCTGCGAGACATAAAGAGATATTCAAGAGAGACAGAGAGAAAGAGTGTTTTCTTATATGCACATCTATTTATTTAAAACTCAAGAATATAAATCTTGATATTTTTCTGCAATTGCTAGAAAATATAATGTCACAAATCGAATATGCGCCACGTTAGAGCTTTTTCTCCTTTTTTTCTCAACTTCGAGCAAGATAAAGATGTCAAAATACATATTTCTGCTTTCGCGAAAGTATCAAATATCACGTTGATATCAAAGATCGCTACATAGTACAAGCTGCATATTACAACAGCTTCGTTGAGTCGCTGTAAAAGGTTATCGGGAATAGAAAATGAACGCGATAATCATTTACGTATTCGATTCCAAGCTATTTCAAGTGCATTTGAATACAAAGTTGAGACGCAAAAATATTTCTTTTTTTTATTAATAGACAATGACACGATCAGCAGGAAGGAAAAGTCCATAAAAACAACCTACAAATTGCACAAGAAGCAGTACCAGATGATTTACATCGATCATCATGATCGGACTGCGTTGACTGTCTGTAGTGCGCGCGAATAAGTAAAGAATGATTTCTAATTGGCCGATAACCAGACGAAAGCAAATCGGCGCGATAAAATGGCGGTTATTAGAAAACATTATGTTTCACATCGCGAGAAATACGAAAGTTAATTGATGCGTGATAATGCGATTTCTATGATCGGATCGCTTATAACGGCGACGTAATGTCGTCTCTCTATTCCGCGCGATTTGGCCTTTTTACGATCGAAAGAGCTCATAAATTACATGTAATAATCTCATACGTAAGCGTGCGCACGTATATATATATATATATGTGCGATCGGTCGATATAGCGTTTTGCTTTTTCAAATAAGTTTATCAGAACCGGGAGAGCCGCAAGACACTTCCTTCGCCGATCGCGATATACTTTCCCGACCGATCGAATGAGAGACGTACGTTTTATGCGCCTCTTTTTCTGATTGTCAGTTGATAGCGATTTAATGACGTCGCGAAGCGTGTTTCCTTGTAAATCGTAATTTTCGTTAACGACTTGAAACTTCCGACGATTACATTATCGGCGGGAAAAGATGAAAAGAAAAAAAGAAGAAAAAAGATCGATCCGCGATCTCTTTTGCCCGACATGATAATATCGCGAACGAACATCTTCGGATTTGCGTGAATTCCGACGAGCGAATCAGCACATAATCGTTGACACGAGGAAGTCAAGGAGGAATCTCTTTCGGGTCGTACACTTTCTACGATTATAAATATTCAAAGATAAAACGCGCAAAAATTTCCTGTACAAATAAAATGGAATTTCATAATTTTGTAGAATTTTTTTTTCATTTATCGCGATTCCGCCAAAAGTAAAGTATCGCTCTCCCCCCGAATTTTAATGCTTCCATTTTTTTGCACACTGTATAATTAATTCGGAAATAAAATTCAATCTCTTCGCAGTTTTTTCCGTTATATTCGACGTTATGTAAAAAGCTAGATCGAGAGAAACTACACGAGTAGTTAATATATTTTATCTCGTACAACCGATTGCAAAACCTTCGCTTCTCAATATATTCTTTTCATCTTGTTTCACTTGCGAACTAGCTTCCGTACAAGATCGAGTTGCATCGGGGGGATCGCGAACAAAACCAACAAAACCGGCAAAAATCCGAAGGATGCGATCGGTGTTTTCAAAATAATATAGGATCCGTCAATTTAGAAATTTCTTCTCTCTCGTCGAACCGCGGCGTATGTCGTGGCTGGGCAAAAACCCGCTTGGCAAATAAAATCCCGCGCAGGATTTCCTCGCGATTGTGATACCCGCGCGCTCGAGAGATCGGCAATAAATCAGGAAGAGAGAGAGAAAGAGAGATCTCGTCCCGGGGTCGTTTCTTGCCGATCGCGCGATCTCGGTGACACGCACGTGCGTCCGACATTTAAAACCTGATCCCGGAGAGCGATCGATCGCGGATCGATCGATCGATCGATCGATCGGCGGCGGAAACGCGAATGCAAGAGGTGGGGAGGAAAAAAGAAGAAAGAGCGGCACGACAGCGGACAGATTTATATACACCGGTAAGAGACTCTATTCAGGCCATCGCTCGGTAAGACGACCGCTTCCACGAAGGGTAGAGCCACCTGAAATCGTACCGTTATACGGGAGCGAGCGAACGTTTTTCTCCCGATCGATCAATCAACGCGCTCTTGGCGCGTATCGAGAGATACGCGACTTTGAGCGCGTATCTTCTAAGCCGCGCTCGTCCTGGTATTCGACTGGTTCCTCGATCTCGCGATCGGTCGGCTGTAAGAAATTTTCCGCGAAACTTATGAATCTCGGACAGCGTTTCCCGAGTTAGGGGACACGATGCGATTCGAGGAAGATTTAGAAAAAAATAGTTTTAAACGATCGTATTAAAAAAATCGGCCAATATGTACCGAAGAAAATCAATTTTTTTTATCTCTCTGAAAAAATATAAACTTAATTTATTTAAAATATATAGGTATACGTAAATAATAATGATCTCATAATAATTCTAAAAAAAATTCGGTGATACTTTTATTTCAAAATTAATTTACTCTTCGTTAATATTTGCTGAAAATGTATTAATCACTCTACATACAATATTTTAAATACTAGTTTATTATTGTATTTGTGTATAATAAAATTATATATTAATTTCTGTTTATACCTGATGAATAATATTTATTAAAATATTGATGGAAGTGCGAGAGGCGAAAGAGAAGAGGAGCAAACTAGAGTCTACATTTGCACTGTAGCAGCAAATCATTCCTCTGGAATGGAATGTCTTTCATTATTCGACACATGAGAGAAGCTGGTTGACACGCGGTTTGAATTTTGCATGAAAATTCGCCGAAATTGCGTGGGGGAGGTTTATTTTCGTGAACGTTTTGCGTTGCGAGAGAGACGCGGACGCCGCGATTAACCTTGCGTTTTCGAATAATTCGATTATCATATCCCTCCTCCCCCGCGGCTTTTACCCTCGTCTCGCCTTTTATTCGCCGTCAGTGTCACTGTCACCCGTCAGTGTCCTGTGCAACGATCTCTCGTCTGACGCGGGCGCAGAGAGACTCGCATTCTACCATCTCTACCCGTAGACATCTACATGACGCCGCACCACCGTCTACCTGTCATGCCGTCTACCGCGGGGGACTAATTATTATTAATCATGTCAACTTTACGATTACGGAGGACGGGTCCTCCCCGCCGCGCCCTTTGCGCTTTCGAAAGTCGGCGAGAGAAAGTTTGACAGTCGAGAACGTCTTTCACGTATTGACTCTACGACTGCTATAATTCGCTTCTACGTCGATTCTACGTCAATTATTTGCCACGGAGATGTGAATTATCAATTTTCTAGCTTATATCCCGGGTTGGATAATAATTAGTTAAAAGTTAAAAAAAAGTTAGCTCAGTTAATTTGAAATGTATTAATTTTTAACTTCAACTAGTTATTTTTTTGACCTTAAACTTATTAACTTTTTTCCTAAATTTTTTTATCTCTGAATACTATTATATTATTGCTTTTTATAAGTTATAAATATATTATTTTTAAATTAAAGCATTACTAATTTTTATGTTTATTTGTCATCAATTGTAATTACCAAAAAATATATTTCTATATAAAAATCAAAATTTCTTTGTTATTATATGTGTTTTAAAAGAATTAACAAACAAAATTCTAATTTAATATAAATAATATTTAAAAAAATTAACTTTTGATTTAACTTCGGTTAATTTAATCTTAAATTTAATTGAGTTAATTTTTTATTCATAAAACTCTTAACTTAACTAAGTTAATTTTATAAGCAACTAACTTTTTGATTTAACTTGATTTTAAAAAATCATCAACTTACCCAACCCTGTTTATATCTGGCCGAAAAGCAAAAGCTAAATAATATATAATCAGAGTATATTGTTGAAGAGAAAGCGATACGTAATTGTCCCTGCTACGATAATATCTTATAATTAGTAAAGTGTAAAAATACAATTACTGTCTTGAATTTCAATTTAGAATATGTTATTCTAATTTGTTTTTCGCCGTAAATAATTCGCAAAAATTCCGAAAGCAAAAGCTATACACTCATCAGAAACGCTTTCAAGCCGTTTCGTCGTCACCT